AAAATTTAGTTTATTAGAAAGTCTAAAGTCCTCACGATTGGACTTTAATGAACAAACTACCTCTCCTAGAAAATCAAGTTTTCCGATGAAACAAGTGTTTCAAATAAACAAAAGACTCTCCTAATCATCACTAACTCTCATCCTTTCTGTGCCCACAGTATTATCAAAAAGCAACTTGCTTTTACAGAAGCCACGCTATATGTTTCTCGCCAAAAAAGGCAAATAGGCACTTTCAGACACAGTAGTACTGAAAATATCTAAGATGATCAAAGTTGACATAGCCTCACATCTCATGTGATTTTATATGTCAGCAAAATTTCCAGCAATCAAAACTGTATAATCATTTTATAACCAATAAACCTGTATGCAGCACAAAGGCCTCTCTTTCTCCCTGATTTTCATCACCATCCAGAAGAAAACCTTGATTCGGATCTCTGTTCAGTGAGAGAGCTGTGTGACACGATGAGTCCTTGGAGACTGAGACAAGTGATGGGTGGAGGCCAGAAGCAGGCAGCCTCTCCTGTCATATCCAGAGCTCAGGCTCTGGGAAAGCACAGAACCAACTCAGGAGAAGTTGAAGCGGAAGAAGGAAGAGGAAAGAGGGCTCAGATGGCACAGAGAGGGAAGAACGTGCTCAGCTGGAGTCCACTTTGAGACTCCCATGACAGAGTACCTAGGTTCATCAGGGGGGGCTGGGGAGAGGGGGACGACAGCCTTTTCTCACCAGCAAACCTGAGGCCTGCCAGTCCTGCCTCTAAATGACTCGTCTCTGACCTGGGGCCTTCCCTGAAGTAGCTACACCCAACTCCAACTGCAACAAGTCCACACTGACTTTGGACTCCCTGATCTTGAGGATCCCAGGAGAATGTGTTCAGGCCTGGACTCTCCCCGGGGTTTGACCACAGTTCAAAGGCCTGAGATCAGGGTAAGGGTCAGGACCAACAGATATTCCAGGAGCTTCCAGCCGTGGAACCTGCCACCCCAGGGGAAAAAATCCTTCAAGTCCTTAGGCTCATTCGTACACGAGAGGACTTCGAACCCCGCCCCCAACTTCAGAGGCACCTTCTGGATCATTGCCAACTCACCTCCATCACCCCAGCTCCACTCCCAAAAGATGGTGGAAGCAGAATAGAAATAGCTTTAGGGTGCACCCAGAAAAAGAGCTGCTGTCTCTGCCTCCAGGAATGCTCCGAGGATGAAAAGGAGATAAACATTAAATGAAAGAATTTAAAAAACAAAAAAGAGAAAGATTCATCACTGTTGTTTTGTTTCTCATATTAAAGTCTGGCTCATAGAATGTTAGGAGTTTCACCAGCTGAAATCTGCGGCCATTCTAAGCAATCTGTTAGGGTTACCATAGAAAAAGCTTTGAATTTTGTCAAGATATTTAAGTTATTTGAGCTCTCAGTAAGGCAGGCCTGGGAACAAAGTTCAGCTCAGCCACTTGCCAACTCTGTGACCTCAGAAATGTGATTTTATCTAAGCCTCAGTTTTCTCATCTATAAAATGGGAATTATAATTGCACCAATCTCATAGGATGGTTTGTAAAGATTAAATGAGATATTGCTTGTAAAGTGTTTAGGACAGTGTCAGGTCCATGGAAAGCATTCTGTAATACTATAGTTACTAATATTACTATTTTGAGAAAGTTACCTAATACAGTCATTTTACACAAGGTTGTGGTATATGATTCTAGATTTTAATATTTGGGCATTTTTTAAGTGTATAAGATACTAACTTAAATGTAACACCTGATTTTTGCGTTTGGCTGTCCAATCAATTTTGACTGTCATTATGAAAGAAAGGTAATCCCTCTATACCTGGCCAAGTCTTCCCTTCCCTCTGTCACCATCTCTCAAGCTCTGTCTCTCCCCTCAACTGCTCTCTCTTCTTTACACTTTTATAAGAACAAGGTCACCGCCAGTTGAAGCCAGTGATCAAGTACAGTATGAACGTCAATGGAAAGGATGTACCACACAAGAGCTCCCTCAATGCTGTCTGCAGCTCCAAGGAAAGGATATGTTTTGATTTGCAAAATGGCTATTTGCAACATCTGTTCCAGGTAAACAAATATTCCAAACCACCTCCTGAACCAGGATTTTGGGTTCAGAAGCATTGCCTTCTGTCTTGTTTTTCCTGGTAGAGAGTCTCACCACAATTCTCTCTCTCTCTCAGCCTTATACCCCCATGTTCCTGGGTCATAAACACCACAGCCATCGCTCACCACCTCCTGGGAGTGTAGAATGTCTCTCCCAAATCCACTCTCAGTAGGAGGACTTTGGGTCTACCCGTTTGTGTCTTCTGCCCCGACAAGCTAAGCTGCCACGTCCTTTCCAGACTCCCCCTCAACTCCACAGTGTGCAGATTCCCACGACTGCAGCCTCACTCCTCCTCACTCAATACACTCACGCTTGAATTGGCCGGTCATCTCATGTCATCTCTTCCAATGACACAGTCATCCTCCCATGGGCCACCAAGTTCCTCCCTTTAGATTGATCTCTGAGGGCTTCTGATCCATAGAACACCTCAAACTGGAGTGTTCTTCTGCCAACTTATTAATCTTGGAGCCAACAACCTTGAAAAGTAAGGGTTAACGAAACCAGCTTAGGGCTATTAGGGAGGAAACTTGAGCAGAGGCTCTGGTTCCACCATTAACTAGCTTAGTCAACCATACCTCAGCTCCTCCGCTATAGAATGAGGGAATGGTCTGGATAAAATCATACCTCATAGCTCTAAGATCCTGAATGTCCACCCTCCCCATGCCAAAATACACTTGTTTGTTTATTCATGCCAATAACTACTGAGAGTCCAATACTGCATAGCAACATGCCCGACACTGTGAGGGGTTAAAGATTATTCTCCAAAGAGCTCATCATCTAGAATGAGAAATAAGACAATCACATCAATAACTATAAGAAAGAGAAAGAGATGTCATAATTGGAGGTGCTTCTAAGATAAAAAGAACATCACAAGCCCATTAGCAACACCTCAAGCCTGAAATAAAGTAATTTTCAACGTCTATTCTTCTCTCCATCGAGTCTTCCACCAAATGACTTTTCCTTTACATCATTCCTTAAATCTGTGCTCTGCACTCTGAGTCACATATGCTTATATGCAGGCCCTGGGCAACTCTTCCCTTGTATGATTTTACCTCTGTCCCTAGCACTCCCCTCACTGATCGGTGATCTCTCATCAACGTATGAGAATCACCCATCAGGCTGGTCTGACTTGGCTCTGTAGCCTCCTCCATATTACAGAACATCCACATTGAACCCCTTTACAAAACTGTCCATACTTCACTTCCTCCCTCCCATACACAGTGGCTGAGAACGTACTTTGTGCTTAGTGCTGGCTGGGATGTCTAAGTCACAGGCTTTAGCCTCCAAGAGCTTACATACTGGTCAGGAAGTTGGGACATACGCTAAAACAGCACTCGGGACCCTAAAGGCGAAGGGGCTACTAGCAGCACCGACAACAGCAATAAATGCTAGAGGGTTCAGAGGCGGGACAGCTACTTTCCGGCTGCAGTAATCAAAGAAGGCTTCTAGGAAGCGGTCACACCTGAGCTACACCCTGCAGCAATGGCAGGACTTCAACAAGGGAGGCAAACAGGCCTCTGGGCCAAGGGCCAAACGTGAGTGAGGCAAGGAAGCTGGGTGGATTCAAGACCAGCAAACTGTTAGGTGGCGAGTGGGTGAGAGGGCACTTTCTGAAAGGAGTTCACAAGGTACTAGAAGCTTAGCAGAAATAACTAATTTTCTGCTTAAGTCAGACTACGTAGCATAAGGAGATAGACAAGAAAAAGAAAGTTTAATAATCTAACCAAACTGTGAGGAGAGTTACCAGCAGGGGGATAGGAAAAAGCCATGAAAAATCAGAAAACCTGGTCCCAGGCCCAGCTTTGCCAAGGAGGGGCTCCCAGGCCATAGCAAGTCATTTAACCTGGTTCGTCTCGGTTTTCTCATTTGTAAACTGAAGCAGCTGACCTGGCTGACATCGAAGGTCTCTACAGTCCAAACCAATTGTATATTATTTCTGCCATTAAAACATTCATCATGGGGGGTGGAGAGAAAGGCGGGTATCCATATTTCCTTTCCGCATAGGTTTCTCTACTAAACTTAAAATTTCTTTTTCCTAAACTTAATTCTATGTCTATGCCTCCCACATCATACATTTAACATTTTACCTAAATAATGTTCAGTGTGTGCCCCGACCTAAAATTTTTTTTTATGGCTCACAGGTTATCCAAGAAGTCTGTGCAGCACAGCCTCAGCCTGCACAAGTTATCCAGATATCATAACCCCAGGCTAAAATTCTTCTGGACGAGCCATTAAAAGTGACGGGGTCGAGAAAGGGGAAAATTCTGTTACTCATCTAAAAGACTGCTTCCTTTTAGTAGCACCAAATGAAGTTATTTCAGGCAATAACAGTAATGCAGAAAAGTATCAGGAAAAAATATCTTGAACTTTAGAAAGTCTCTACTTGAAAATGAAGCTCAAACGCGGCAAGTTTTTGGCACCGAAATTCTCTGAAAGTTGACAGCTTTGATGCCGCATCCAGAGGCCCCCTGCTCCAGGAAAGACACCAAAACAGAAACCACGGATGCGATTTCACTCCAGCTCTATTGATCCTGTGCACCAAAAGGCCAAAGGCAAATAAACCAGTCACAGAATTCAAGAGAAACAGGCTGGATCAGAAAGCCTCACCAGTGGCCACTCAAAGTTTAAAAGAAAGAGAGGAAAACAACAAAGTTAACAAAAGGCTAAGTTCACGCCGGGCGCCACAATGCCGTGCCCGGGCTTACTGTGTAAGCGGCATAAAGACGCGATGTAACACCTGCGCGCACCACGAGCCGCCCGAACCCCGGAGTCGGCGGGCGCGGGAGCCGTCTCGCGAGCGAGGGCAAACCCAGACTCCCTCTGAGTCGCAGCCGAAAGACTAAAGCTTTGTTTTCTGCCCATCGGCGCAGCCTTCCCCTCGGCCCCCGGCGCGCCCCGTACCTGCCGCGCCCGTCCCGCCTTCGCCGCAGCTCGCGCTCGGGATCCCAGCAGCCGCAGGTCCGCTCTGCGGCTACCCCGCCGCGCCCGCCCAGCTGCCGCGCTCGCGCCACTACGCATGCCCGGCCGGCACCTGCGCCAGCCAGCTCGGAATCCACTTGCCGGGTTTTGGCTGCGGCTCCCAGGGGAAAGGACCTGAGGCCAGGAGCCTGGGTTCTGCCCCAGGGGGACAGAGGAGTTGCAGGTGTTGGAGAGCCGAGGGGGAGAGGTGGATGGGCCTTGCGGTAACGTAGTTCCTACTGCCCACATTTACCCTGACGTACGCTCCTCCAAGCCTAAAGATGACCACCTGCACTCTTGGCATGAGCTTAGCACAGTGGTTCTCAAACTTGAGCGTGGATCAGAGTCACCTGGAGGGCTTGTTAAAACACAGATCCCACACTCAGAGTTGCAGATTCGGTAGGTCTAGAGTGAGGCCCGACAATTTGCATTTCTAATATTTTCTCAGAGGAAACTGGTGCTAGTAGTTCCAGTACCACACTGGATTTGCAAACCGCTGGTCAAGAGAAAAGATATTTGGTATTAAAGGAGGAAAGTTTTCTCTCCTTCTCCCCCTCCCCCTTTTGGGATTTCACATAGCACTTCCTCTTCATTTAACAGCCACACCTGCTTAATAAATAAATAAATAACTACAGCTCACACTCAAACAAAGATTGAATGTTTCCTGTAGCTTGTGCAAGTAAATGGAATGCAGGCTCAAGTGTTCTCATATACTTTACATGTGGTATACTCTGTAGTTCCCATCCCTCCAGCACTGTCTAGGCAACAGGAGGGGTCCCTATTTTGCCACCCCTTTAACTCAAAGTCCTGTGTGCCCCCTTAGAGCTTAGCACAGTACTGGGTACAAAATAGGAAACCAAGAAATCCTGAGATGGTATCAGTAGGGCTGGAGAGACGGAGAAGAAAGAAGGAAGTTGAAATTATTTTAAGAATCCAAAGGAATTGATCAGCAATTAAATATGGAAGTAGGCCAGCCAAGGCTGGAGAGGATAAGGATTTCTCCTTGCCTTCCACCTAGGGAAATCAGTGGATTTAACATCCTTATCTGAAACCATATTTACAGAAGGGGTTGAGTATGGAAGTTCTCACAGAATGTTTCTTAAAAAGTTAAACACACATCTGCCAGATAACCCAGCCATTCCATTCGAAGGTATTACCCAAGAGAAATTAAAACGTATGTTCACACATAGATTTGAGTATGAATGTTCATAGCAGTTTTCTTTCACAACAGCCCCAACCAGAAGGAATCCGAATGTCCATCAACAGGTGAATGCATAAACAAATTGTGGTACATCTATACAACAGAATACTACTAAGCAAAAAAAAGAAAAGAAAAGAATTGCACATGTGGGCTTCAGCATGGATAAATATCAAAATCATTATGCTGAATGGAAGAAGCCAGGGACAAATGTATGACTCCGTTTATATGAGGTCCAAGCTAACATATAGTGACAAAAAGCAAATCAGTAATTGCCTGGAGCCAGGGGTGGAGGGAGGGATGGACTCTACAGGGGCAGTAAAAATCTTGTGGAAATCTTGTCTTGATAGTAGTGGAGATTTCACAGGAGTATACAACTGTCAAAACTAAATCATGCACTTTAAATTTACGAAATTTATTTTACATAAATTATTCCCCAATAAAGTTAAGAAAAAGTTTAATCAAATACTCCTATGAGCTCTTTATTTAGTGGGAATATTGACCAAGATAAGTTCATGAGGAAGCGTAGACTCTAAATATGGTGTAACCTGATTTGGAGGGAGGAAGGAAAAAAAAAAATCACCCTCTATAGAGGAAGCTAAAAATAATCAGTATAAAATGTTTGGAACAACCCATCTCTAAAAGTAACGAACCCCAAGATGTGATTTGTAAATGTATCACTGATAAAACTAAAGTATTTCCCCAAAGTATCTCCCAAATATAAAACAGTAAACAGTGTATACCATCAGAAATGCACAACCAGTGCATAATAATTATAAAGAAAAGTGTTATCTGCTGAACTGATTGAACCACTACCAATGAGCAATAAGGTTTTCAAACTGTGTTTCTGGGAGCCTCGGGTGTCATGGAGATGATAAATAAGCAGGACTCAGGGTCAAGGGCCCCAGTCCAGCCTGCACACTATTATTTCCATATTGGGGTATCCTCGGAGATTTTATTTGATAAAAGAGTTCCACTGACAATCAAAAGAGCAACAGCTTGAAAGCAATAGAAGCAATGGCATCAGGTAGGAAGAATTCACAGAGAAAAGATGCTGTATTCGGTGGGCACAAGTATTCAGGTCATCAAAAATATACACTTTAGTTATAGTAACCATATGTTCCAGTTTTCCCAGAAGAGTCCCAATTTTAAATATTAATCCTATGAATTTATGTCCAATCATGTGTCCTAATTATTGGTTGAAAAAAATAAAATCACCAACTTAATCTGAAATAGGGATAATTTTCTGGCTCTTCTACAGCTTGTATAAAATATTAGTAATATAATATTATTAGTAATAATAAATATTAATAACAACATAGCTAAGGGTTATTGAGCTCCTACTATGTACCAATAATTGTTTTAAGCACTTTACAATGTTTTCTCATTGAATATCCATGACAACCCTACTAAATTATCCTCATTTTATAGGTGAGAAAACTGAGGCACAAAATATTATTTTTCTCCTAATAACATAACTAAATGAAGGCTAAATAAAAGCTAAACTGGGGGGCTGGCCCCGTGGCCGAGTGGTTAAGTTCGCGCGCTCCGCTGCAGGCGGCCCAGTGTTTCGTTCGTTCGGATCCTGGGCGCGGACATGGCACTGCTCATCAAACCACGCTGAGGCAGCGTCCCACATACCACAACTAGAAGAACCCACAACGAAGAATATACAACTATGTACCGGGGGCTTTGGGGAGAAAAAGGAAAAAATAAAATCTTTAAAAAAAAAAAAAAAGCTAAATTGGGGCTGGCCCTGTGGCATAGTGATTGGGTTCAGCATGCTCTGCTTGGGTGGCCCAGGTTCATGGGCTTAGATTCCAGGCATGGACCTAACACAACTTGTTGGCCATTCTGTGCCAGTGACCCACATACAAAATAGAGGAAGACTGGCACAAATATTAGCTCAGGGCTAATCTTCCTCAGCCAAAAAAAAAAGGAATATTGGCAACAGATGTTAGCCCAGGGCAAATCTTCCTCAGCAAAAAATAAAATAAAAATAAAATAAAAGCTAAGTTGAAAACTGTATTTTGTATAAAAACAATTCTTGCTGATTTCACTTCCCAAGGATCCTTCTGGATTGTTAATTTATTTTCCCAGGCTCATTGGTACTGGAAAAGGGGCCAAAAAGAGCATAACTCTAGTGACCACCACCATCATCATCTTCATCATCATCTCAAATGTCTATTCTATGTTTTCTGTGTGCTAGCTGCTGTACCAAGAGTTTCATGTTATTTCATTTAGTGCTCATAAGGACAAAAGTGGAGATTCAGAAATATTAAATAACAGAAAGAGTAAATGGATGGTGGAGTGAGAATTTCAACTCAATGCAAAGTTATAATATATCGCATACTCTAAATTAAAAAAACGCGCACTGTTGCTTATAAAGTTGGTCCCTGTGAATCTGGTTAGTGTTAGTTCCCCGGAACCTGATGGTTTCTAAAATGCTTATAACCACAATACCCAACTATCACCCAGCCCCTGATCCTAATTCGGAAATCAGCTGCTACCTATTGGCACCAATTTTACTTCCCATTTCAGGAAAAATAGGTGCATTTTGAATGACACTGGATAACAATAGGAAGTATGGTGGGAACATATTTAGTTTATTTGGCCTTTTTTTCCAGAATAAAGGGAATAGAGAAGAAAAATATAGGTGAAAAAGGCTAAGATTCAGTTCAATTCTGGCTTTTTTTGTTTTTTTTACATCATTTGGAGGAGAAAGGAATAATCTGAGGAATCAGAAGACTGAAAATAATGCAAAAAAACTCTCTCTTTCTCACAAACACACACATACAAACACAGAATTTAAGAAAGATGGGATCAAAACAGCTAACCAAGCACGCACACCTACACCCGACTTACCACATAGAATCCCATGAAATGATAGAGAAGATACCTTTTATAGCAAAAAGTATCCTACAAAACAAGAAAAATTGCCATCAACAAAACAGAAATGTTGGGGAAAGACAATACAGATAAGATGGCATCTCAGAAGAACAAAATGGAAAGAAAGTTCAGCTCAAATCCTACAGAGGAGGGAGCTAAGGCAAAGGAAGGAGCAGTTTAGGAGAGGCTGTGCAAGCTCAAAGTTAACAGATCAAGAACGGAGAAGAGGGCACTAAGGTGCTGGTCAGCAGGAGTAATTGGAGAAAGAGAGCAGCTAGGCCAGTCAACAACTTTCTCCTCCCCAACTGGTTCTAAATTGTAGCCCAGCTAGCTACAAACTTTCAGGAAGAACACCTGTCTCCCACATCTTGAGGATGAGCTGCCAATGCATCCTTGCCTTGAGAGTGCTGTTCCTTACCCGAAGTTGGCAGAGGACGGCTGCAGTTATCATAAAGGCAAAGTGAAGAGAGATTCTAAAATACAAAATTGAACAGATAACGAAACATTATTACACCTTTGGGGAAAAAAAATCATCCTGAGAGACGCAGCATTTTTACCACTAATATTAAAGAAAAAAGAACTAGAGAATAATCAGAAGAAGCCTTTTGAAAAGTATAATTAATATCTTCAGAGAAACATGAGAAGATGTCACATGTACGGAAGTCTAGTTATTTGGGAATTTAAAATTTTGATGACTGAGATAAAAAACTAAATGGATGGTCTAGGTTTCAGAATAGACACAGATGATGAGCAATTATGAACTGGAAGATTAAGCTGAACAATTTTCCCAGAGTGAAGTCAGCGTAACAGGCATTGGGGAAAAAATGGCTTTAGGACATAGATGGATGATCTGGGGCAGCTTACGTTCTCCAACCTCCCCCCACACTTTGCTCATCCTTATTTGAAAAAAATAAAATCATGTACAACTGTAACTGAAACAGATGGAAAATACGAAAAG